CCAACGACAAGTCTAATTCGTTTCTGTCAAATTTAAGCCATCTGTATTATCTGAGTGCTACAAATCTCTAACTCGTGTTTATTAGGTTTGATATGTAAAAAGAATCGATGCTGTCAGTGTAAATTGAGTATTTCTATACCTGGGTATCCGAGTAGCCGCGTAATAATATTGACATTTAATAAAAATATCAATAAACTCGATTATACATATAATAATAACCCAAATACACAGATAATTTGAGAAATGTGTAAGTGATGTGACTGAATACTGGGCTAGTGTTGCCCAAAAGCTACAGTCAGTACCCGATGCTCGGGTAATTTCAGAAATATTTCAGCACGCGGAGAAAAATATCATTCTATTGCTAAGAAGAGCGATTACTNTAGTCCGTACCCGATGCTCGGATAATTTCAGAAATACTTCAGCACGCGGAGAAAAATATCATTCTATTGCTAAGAAGAGCGATTACTCAGTTCACTTTTTTTTAAGTAATAATTATCTTAAAAAAAATATTTTTTTTAAAACAGTCTTAAAATATATTCATTATAAATTTTAGAGAAACTCATTATCACGTACTTAAAAGAAGCATTTCTTTATTTATTATTAAATCTCTTTTCAAGGATATTACAAACTTGATCAAAGAAAAGTTAAATTCGGTTAATATTAATAAGCAAACCAAAGTTTGTTTTTATTCAATATTCTTGATTAGAATACTAAGGTTACCAGGGCTCAGAATATATTTTAAATCAATCTGACGCTTTTCATGAACTTATAATGTATTTGCGAATATGTAAACTTATGAAATACTTGAGACAAGTGACATTTACTTGAATGCAGTATGTATTTTTCTGTGTATACCCAAATATCCGGATAATACCATCCAACAGACTCAGGTACCCGGTTAATGCCCGGAAAATTAACCACAAATCTGACTTTGATATTATAAGACCAGGGGGTTGATGCACAAGAGAGAGGACTTACGGTTCTTTTTTGTCGTACTTTAGGCGCGAGTCGCCGTGGTTTCCTCGTCGAAATCGCACGAAAGACCTCGAATAACTCGTCGCCGCAGTGAGCAAGCAAACCACCACCCCGCTGCGTTGAGAAAGTCGCTCTTTTGATCGCGTGGAACTGTGACCAAGTTTTATCAGGAGACTCAAAAAAAAATGCTGCGGTGTACGGCGTCTACGAGGACTAAATTCGCGCGACGCAACGCTCTCACGTGTTATCGTTAATGAACCCTACCGGCTGGCGAGCAACTAACAGCTGATAAACGATCTCGCGTGCCGCTGCCTACGTCCCACGCGAGACCCCACGTAAGTCATGCAATTTCACTTATTACATGTGTTTCGCGATGTACATCGTACAGCGTTTTCAATTATATTTCTTCGGATAGCGACCGTATAGCTCGTCAGCTCGCCCGCTCGCTCGACCTTTCTCTCGCTATCGTGAAATATAAGAATTCAACAACTACCGCCGCCGTTAAATAATACACTCCAGGGTCATTTCTCTCTCCCTGCGTGCTTCGTTAAAACGCCATACTCCGGCTCCTGACAAATTGCGAGAACCTATCTACGACCGTACGTACGCTCCTTGACTCCCGTTCGTAACTAACGAATTACGAGAACCGATGGATCTCGATGCATTGATCAGAAAATGACACTTTATGTAATCATATCAAAAGAATGCATATATTTGCTTCGAACAATTGTATATATAAACATAATTTTATTACACTATAAATCTTATAAAATTAAAAATACCGCACTTGTGAGTGTAACTCTAAGTCTCGACATTCANTTACCGCCGCCGTTAAATAATACACTTCAGGGTCATTTCTCTCTCCCTGCGTGCTTCGTTAAAACGCCATACTCCGGCTCCTGACAAATTGCGAGAACCTATCTACGACCGTACGTACGCTCCTTGACTCCCGTTCGTAACTAACGAATTACGAGAACCGATGGATCTCGATGCATTGATCAGAAAATGACACTTTATGTAATCATATCAAAAGAATGCATATATTTGCTTCGAACAATTGTATATATAAACATAATTTTATTACACTATAAATCTTATAAAATTAAAAATACCGCACTTGTGAGTGTAACTCTAAGTCTCGACATTCACGAGAACTTACGTTGCGCAATGTCTGCCGTATCGCGGATCCCGTGATAATCACCGGTGCATCAAAGCTTGTCTTAACACGTTGACCTTAATCTTTCCGATTTCCGTGAATTATTCCGGGCTAAATTTACGGTTGACACATACATTTCTCGATTCGCACACTCGCCAACTGGTTTTATTAGCTTCCGCATATTTAATTCATTCAGGTGTAATTAATTTTACGCGTAAATTATTAATGAGACGCGGCAAAATCATAGTAATCGTAGTTAAATCGCAGTCGGGCTTATATCTCGCAGGGAAACAAAATATATCGGAAAATATATGTTAACAAATATGCTTCTGGCAAGATGTAATAAGTGTAAATTATATTTTATGTATATTTTCTTCNAAAGCTTGTCTTAACACGTTGACCTTAATCTTTCCGATTTCCGTGAATTATTCCGGGCTAAATTTACGGTTGACACATACATTTCTCGATTCGCACACTCGCCAACTGGTTTTATTAGCTTCCGCATATTTAATTCATTCAGGTGTAATTAATTTTACGCGTAAATTATTAATGAGACGCGGCAAAATCATAGTAATCGTAGTTAAATCGCAGTCGGGCTTATATCTCGCAGGGAAACAAAATATATCGGAAAATATATGTTAACAAATATGCTTCTGGCAAGATGTAATAAGTGTAAATTATATTTTGTGTATATTTTCTTCTTTATGGTACTTTCCACATATATATTTTCATATATGTTTCACATATATTTCCTCAATAATATTATTACGTTGTAATATTGAACGTTGCAATATTATTGCGAATTCCCGACGCGAATATGCGCAACATCCTGAATTTTCTTCTCTTTAGCTTCTATTGACGATGTATTAGGTTGGTGCGTATGAAATGTCGCATTCTCTTTACATGCGNGTCGGTACCAATTTTTCAAACGGTCAATCGCCCTTTGCCATTCATCTATCGTGTTTTTATACGACTCACGGTTGTCCTTGTTTGGTCTGAATACTTTTTTCACTCGGCGAAGTTTTGCTATTTCATCTCTGCTGCTCCACAGTCCTGCAAGTGAACGAGACACTGAGGATTATCGTTCGCTGAATACAAACGTCCGATCGGACCGATTACGAGCATTCGTGAGGCGCGAAATGTAAGGCAGAAAGTTCTCGAAAGTTGCTTTCCGCACGATCGTACCGCTTTTCAAGCCGGCCATGAGAGCTGTCCCCAAGATAGACATCTCGACAGTGTCTGGACATTCCACCTCCAGCCCCGTTAAGTCGCTCAGCAATTACATAATGAAATTATTTCCGGAAACTCCGCCGTCGACCCTGAGGAGCCACACGCCCGTTCAAGTCAACATTCAATTCAATTCGTTCGTGAAACGAAC